TACCCCACAGTTCTGAACAAAACCACTGACACCTGGGACAGACACTTCCCCCAGGGCTTACTAAGAGGTGACATCCTTAGTAACCCCCCCCACCCCCTTCAATCACTCCAACTCCTTCCACCACAGTCTGTATAAGGGGGCAAATTATGGGAGGAAGGGGTTGCAGAAGTGGGTGGGATTGATGGGGAGGAATGTGGGGATTCCTCTCTTCAAAGCCAAGGGAGGGATCTCTGAGAGAATCATGTGAGGACTTGGGGCTTGCAAAGGGGAGGCCAGTATCCCAGGTGGGGCCCCACTAGGCAGCAGACGAGCTGAGCAGGGGCGGAAGGATTACAGAGGTGACAGGGTGGACACAGGGTGTGGCAGGAGGCAGCGAGGATGTCCCAAGGATGCGAGAGTGCCCCTGAGTCAAGTGGTTACCATAGGAGGTGACTGGGCTAGACCTGTCACACTAGGTCTCACTTTCTGAGTGAGGTGACCCCAGCACCCAGGAAAAGATGGGCTGGAAGAAGACTAGTTAAAGAGTGATCCTGCACGTCTAAGAAGTGGCAGTGGGGAGTCCCCACCCTCTTTAGGCCTCTGGTGTGACTACCATCAGTGCCTGCTACTTTGGCATGTTGGCCAACATGGAGTAGACTGTGGCAGTGGCCAGTTAGATAAAGACATATCTGCCCTTTTTCCTACCCCCTGCGCCTCTTCTCAACGTTAGTCCATGCATAGAAGAGGGAGGCACAAGACGGCTCCCCAAGGCAGACCAAAGCCAAGGGCTATGGAGGCTGGAGCAGGAGGGAGCATAGAGGACAGCACACCTCTAGGCGGAGCCCTCCAGAACCCAGTCACCTGAAGGCCTCATGCAAACAATGATTGGAGAGGAGTAACATAATTTCATGTTGTGGACTGATTACATTCGATGTATTCTAGGGAACAGTACAAAACAGGACACTATTCAATGTCCTAACCTTTCCTTGCTAGGCTGCTGAGCTGGCAGAGCTTCTGGGGTCATGGGAGGAGGAGGCCTTTCCAGCACTGTCCTCGGCTTGGATGTCACCACGCCTCCAGGCTGGGGCCACCAAGGCTGCGTACTCTTCATTTACACACACACTCACACTTTCCCAAACCAAATCAGCCATGTCCAGAGTAGTTTCTCACCTCAGTTGCTGCAGACCCCTAGGGCCAGTCCCCTGCCCTCCATTCATGTGCTGCCTTGCAGAGGTCAGCTCACCAGTCTCACCTCTTCTCTTCCCTCACGATGTGTTTCCCGGGAGGGCCCTTTCCTGCTGGCTAATCTCACCCAAGGCCATTTCAATTTGTCAGGAAAGTTTTTATAATGAGAAAAAGTAAAAGAGGAAGTATGGGGTCTTGATGGCTTACTTCCCAGAGGCTGCAAGGCCTCTCCGCAAAATGCTCAAACCTCTTCAGCTGCCTTGAGCAGCACAGATCATTTTTATAATGAGAAAAAGTAAAAGAGGAAGTATGGGGTCTTGATGGCTTACTTCCCAGAGGTTGCAAGGCCTCTCCGCAAAATGCTCAAACCTCTTCAGCTGCCTTGAGCAGCACAGATCAAAGGGGATGGCATGGACTGGGCTATGTCAAGCCCTATCCTCCACCAAAACAATCTTAAGACACCACCCCTTTCTTTACATTACATCCACTTAAGCAGGCCACTCGGGGAGACCTGAGGGTGCCACGTCTAGAAGTGGAGATGGCCGGTGACTTTCCAATGGCAGTTTGTTCAGCAGAAACAGAATCCTGCCATAGCTATTATTACCGTGCGGCAGGATGATCGTTGAGTTAGTCATTCTGTCCTCTGGGCTCTCAAAAAATTTCACTCATACCTCTATTCCCGTGCTCTGCACAGCGCGTTGTGACTAGATCTACTCCATTCTCAACCCTCCCCCTATCAGCAGGCCCAGGACCTGGAGGGACTTTGAGGTCTAAAGGGCCTGGACATTAACACCCGTCTTTATGTTCCTGATCCAGTCTGACCACATGATAGACCTCCGGGGTGCTTGTCATATTGAATTCCATGATGGAAAAACAAATGGACACTTTCCAGATTTTATTTATGAAGTTGCTATATACCGTATGTATTAATCAGCTTTTGTGCTTCTTAAACAGCCCCCCAAACTCAGTGGCTTGTCACAGCAGACATGGACTTCTTGATACTGTTGCTTGTGGCTCCGCCCCGGTCTTCTCCCTCCCCAGGGGTCGTAGCCTGAGGGGGTGTGAGTTGGGACAACTTTCCTGTGGCTGAGAAGAGGCTCAGCCCAGCCACTTTCAAGACTCTGCTTAGACGAGGCACATGTCCCTTCTGCTCTCATTCCTGCAGCCCAGCCAGCTGTGTGGGGGTGGGGGTGAGGCCTGTAGGGCACACAGTAGGGCACACTGCGAGTCACACCAAAAGGGCAGGTGTGTGGAATCACAGAGGGGAAGCAGCAAAAAGTCGTAAACAGAACACAGTCTAGCACACCACAGCATAACAAAACAGACAGATTTTTATTTTTTGACAATACAGTTAGAACGTTGATTTATTTTCCAAATTGCAGTTTTTTAAAAAACAATGTTTACATTTCATCATCAAAATAAAATCGTATGCATACATTAAAATGATACAAATATCTGAAGGTGAAGCTTCCCCCTGCCCCACTTCTTCCTGAAACCTTCTCTAACCAGGTGGCAAGTGGAACCGTAGTAACTCGTAGCTCCCAAGTTGCCTGGTTCCAGGGACCAGTGTTTCTTGCTTGCATTAGATCAGAAATGCACCGGACAACATGCGGGAACATAACTTGGCTCCACTAAGAGGAAAGCCTTTGCTTACTTAGTGAGCTCCTCCAACTCCCCTTCATTTAAGTAGGGTTTAAAATCTTTGATTAAGGGCCAGCTTGATCTAGGAGTTCCCACTGGCCACATAGGGGGCAATTTGAGTATCAACAGGGACATCTGCAAAGTACTGAAGCCCTCAAATTTGATTAAGTCCTATCTTCATGACACACACACACACGCACACACACACACACGTGCGCACACACACATGCGCACACACACACACATGCACGCACACACACACATGCGCGCACACACACACGCAGCCCTCAAATTTGATTAAGTCCTATCTTCATGACACACACACACACGCACACACACACACACACGTGCGCGCACACACACACACATGCACGCACACACACACATGCGTGCACACACACACACGCACACACACACACACACACACACACACACACACGGTTTCTGGCAGCAAGCCTAAGAGAATGGAGACCCAGTTGAGATGATAGCTATGAAGCGTGTGCTACAACACCACAGGCTGGAAGCCCACAGATCACAGACCTCCAGCTCCCTGCTGATCAACAACCACTTGTGTTGACTCAGCAGTGTCCCCCAATGCTACATGCTCCAAACTTTTAAGCTCAAAGCCAGACTTGCCTCATGACTAATACGGTATTTTCAGGCTTGGCATGACAGTAACTCTTAAAATAATACTTCACCACATTTGCAAGTTACAGTTTTCAGCTTTAATTTTATTTTTCCTATTTTATTTTATTTTGTAAATGTCTGAACTCTATGCCTGTATCCAAAAATGAGGTGCTGGAAGATAGTTTACAAAACAGCTTTTCCCAGCACATCTAGAGTCTTCCTTGTCCAGGCCCACCCTGACTGGTAATTTAGACATCGAGATTCACGGGCTGGATGTATGACTTTCAAAGCAGAGGCTCCTGTCACTTTTGTCTCCAGGCTCCTTCTCTGCCCCAAGGACACACCCCAGGGCCTCCACCCATTGATTTTCCTCTCCCATGACCATCGAGAGTTGTTGTTATGCAGTTTCCTTCACATTCTCCGCAGGTCAACTCTCCTGGACCCCACAAACTGGTTTCTGGAGAAGGGCAGCCCGATAGCCAAGGAGTGATGGGACAAAGGCTGTGGGAAAATAGGGGCAAGAGCAGCGGGAAGGTGGGGGACAGCAACAAGGAAACAACCAGCTCGGACGCAGACAGGAGGCCCTTCCAGGGTTCCCACGCATCCGTCCTGCCTCTCCTCCTGGTGGATTCTGGAAACATCCCTGTGGTGGTTCCACAACATCCCCTGTCCTCTTGCTGCAGACCCTCCACTCCTGATGGAGCAAGTCATTATTCTCCACCCCCTTCTCATAATTGTTGCTTCCAAACTTCTCCTTTCCCTGGAAAGACCAAACAAGAGCTTTTCTTTTTTTTTTTTTTAGCTCATCATAGATAATGCATATTTTATGCACAAAAATTTTCTAAATTTTCATATAAGGGATGTGGCCTAATAAGCATGTGAATAACAGAGCATGCTATTTAGTAGATTTCAAATGTAGGGTGTGTGGTTGTCGTAGATTAGCCGTAACAAAGCAAAAATGTGCCATTCAGTTACGCAAAAGAGGATCATTGGACCCAACAAAGCTCCTGAAATGTGATTACAGTTCCCACATCCTCCATGACCTGGTGAAGCCTTCAGTGTTAAATATGGGCGGGAGATGGGCCAAGGCCAGTACCACTTGCTTGCTGAAGCACGAGCCCCTTGGTCACGTTCGTCTCTGTCCAGGTGCAGCCACGGTCCCGTCTCCTTCTCCACGGGGCCTGACCCACTCACTCTCACTCCTGAGCATCCCACTCCTGTCTTCCCACCGCCAGCTGGGCCCTTGGTTATCAGAGATGGATAGAACCAGAGACTGAGTGATGAAAAGGTGAAGCCTGGAAAAGGAGCATCGGCACGAGGCGATGAGCATTTCCCAGGAACTGAGAGGAGCTTGTTGAACAGTCAATGTCTCACCCTACAGTAGTTCTGGAATATTCCTGAGCAAATGTTGGTTATGCAAGGAGTGACCTAAGTCTGTCTTGGTCCACACAACTGTGAGGTTTCTGGGCCCCTGTTTTGCAGATTTTTATTCTTCAACCAACCTTTGAGGCTTGTTATTATATACAGATTGTTGTCTTCCTTTAAAAATAGGCAAGCTTCTACTCAATTTACAAACCAGCTGAGACTTCCTGCTCCCCGGTGGAATGGGTGTACGTTGAACTCACTCGATCTGCTGTCTCCCCATAGAAAACTGGACATTGTTTGCAGAGGCGTTTGGCGATGTGCTTTCGGAAAAACATGGAGAGGTACCTTCTGAACTTCTCCCCAACGAAAGCGTAGATGACAGGGTTGATGCAGCAGTGTGTCATCCCAAGAGTCTCCGTCACCTGCATGGCTTGGTCCAGTTGACTGGTGCTCTCACAGTTACTCAGACCAAAGAATTCCTGGAAGGTGCTCAGGCAGAGGACGATGTTGTAGGGAGCCCAGAAAAGAAAGTAAACAATCATAATGACAAAGATGAGCCTCACAGCCTTGTGCCTCTTCCTCTCATTTCGACACCGAAGCAGGGTTCTCAGGATTCCCGAGTAGCAGATGACCATGACAAGCACGGGCAGGACCAGGCTCAAGATGTTCCTCATTACTGTATGGAAATTCTTCCATTCTAGTGGATAATTAGGGCCGCAGGAGTAATGAAAACCTTCTTTTTGAGATATGGTAAAGATGATTCCTGGGAGAGAGGCAAACACAGCCACCACCCAGGTGACCCCGCTTGTCACTACTCCAAAGGTGACTGTCCTGGCTTTTAAAGCAAACACAGCATGGACGATAGCCAGGTACCTATCAATCGTCAGGAGGATGATGAAGAAGATTCCGCCAAAATAACCGATGTGATACAGCCCTGTGAATACTTTACACATCGCACCCCCAAAGACCCACTCATCTGCAGCAGAGTGAGCCCACAGTGGGAGAGTGAGAAGGAAAAGCAGGTCAGCGATGGCCAAATTGAGCAGGTAGATGTCACTCATGCTCTTCAGCTTTTTGTACTTTATCAAGATGAACACGACCAGCATGTTGCCCACAAGCCCGAAGGTGAACACCAGCGAGTAGAGCGGAGGCAGGAGCTGGGCTCCGATCTGCTTCACGTCATATTTATGACAAGGCGCACTGTACTCATAGTCATAACTGGTGGTGGATTCTCCACCATTCCCGTTGACATTTCTTATAAGCAGAGAACGAGGCGTGGACAGCAAGCTGTGGATGAACCTGTCCTTGTCATCCATCTTCCTCTGTTTTGTAAACAAAGAGTGAAACGATGACCACACAGCATAAACACCACAATCCCCGACCTTCAAAATATCCCTGCCCTGCTCTAGCAGCTTCCCAGTCTCTGGTCCTCCTTCTCAGCCGTCTCCTTGAGAGCAAGTGTGCCAGTTCATCACTTCCCTTATTTTCTTAGTATCAGACACCAGTCATCCACCCAACAGCCATTTCCCAACACCCTCTGTCTTCCCCAGTGAGCCCAGTTCTCATCATAAGGCCAAAAATGCTGGACATGTGCATTCTCTACCTCCCTTGTGGATGGTGACCAGTCCTGGACAGTAATAAGTAAGGGGTTTGCTAGGGGCCTTCTAGGAAGGCTCTTCCCTGCTAAGAGAGACACAGCAGAGCCCCCACCTGTCCCTTCTGCATTTGCAGCTTGTGCTGTGAGGGCTTGGTGCTTAGACCATAAATGAAAGACCCAGAGAACGGGAGAGGTCAAGCAGAGTCCCAACATCACCAAGTCCCAAACCACCCTTGAACTGCTCATCTTCTGACTTCTTGTTACTTGAAAAAATAAGCCATTTTGAATTGCTTTTTCTGTTACTTGTAGACAACAGAGTTCTAACTGATAACCCTCTCAACTTTCTGCCTCCATCACTTTGCCAAACTTCTCTTGCCAAGCTTGCAATGATAACCCCATTTTCCAATGCCCCAGCTTTGTTCACGTGTCAGCCTCATTGGTCCTTCTGCTGACTTCTTCATTTAAAGCTCTTTCTGGCTTCCAGGAGGGATCTCCTGTCTGACCCCTTGTCATTAACGTCCTCTGTTGTCATGTCCTTCCCCCGCCCACACCTTAAGAGTTCACAGCCACCATACTCTGCTCTCACCTCTTCCATCTCTTGCCTCTTAGTTCTTGCTCCAAAGTTCTCCCTGAATTGTGCTGTCTGATTTCAGTGTTCTAACTCCCCTGGATGCTGATGCTTCCCAAAGCTCTGTCTTCAAGGTCCCCCTTTCTCCTCAGCCTTAGACTTGATTTTTCTATTCCCTACTGCACATCTCCCCATGGATTTATTCACTTAACCAATATTTACTGAGCATCTGCTATAAACCGTACTCTGTTTTAGGCCCTAAAGATATAGCAGTGAACAAAGAGGGCAGCAGGCAGGCACCTCAAATTCAACCCACCCCTCCTGAGCATCCCCTAAAATGTTCTCCAGCCTATAGATTCCTTATCTAGGTCGTCATTTACTCCACTGCCTAAGAAGCAAGATTTGGCATTACCCTGTGTCCCCTCCTCTTCAGAAAATTCGGAGCTAGCCTTGGAGCCATACAGACCTGGATTCGAATCTTGCCTCCAACTTACAAGCTGTGTTATTTGCAGCCAATGACTTCTTTAGTGATTGTTTCAGTATCAGTTTCTTTATGTATAAAGTATTAACTGCACTGAGTTGCTGTGAAGAGCAATAGAGACTAGGACTTAGCACAGCATCTGGTGCAGAGAAACACTCGGCGTTACTGTTATTATTATTATCATGTCATATGAATTCTGCTTCCTAAGTGCCTCTCTGATTCATCCCTTCTGCTCCTCTCTCTCCTGCCACTTGCTTGCCTCAAGCTCCTTACTTCTTGCTTTGTTGTGGTCTTTCCTTTGCCTGTGGCTTGTCTCTAGCCACGTTCCCTTGCACTGTGTTCTCTCAAGTTGAAATTGGGTAATGGGTTTCTTAGCTTAAAGCCTCCAGGAGCCCATGACTTTTATGTGGTGGGACCTCAAAGGTAGTGCCCAGACATCATGTCTTTTCCCAGCTCCCTTCTTCTCAGCTTCACCTTTTCAAATCCCAAATCCTGTGCTGCAGCTACAGTCATCTTCTCTCCATTTCCCCCAAACTCACCTCTTCCTTCATGCTTCAGAGGCTTTGCATATGTATGTCCCTCTGCCTAGCATGGCATCCTTCAATACCACCTGCTCAGATTCCCTTTCTTTGTGAAGCCTAATCTGCATCCTCTGACAAATCCCTCTTCTCTCCCAATGCTGCATGTGCCTAGAGAAGCAATTATCATGTTATCTTCTACAGATTGTGCTCCTCCAGGTCAAGGACTGGACAGCATTTCTATGTCCAGCTCTTGTGATAGCACCTGACTAAAGGAGGCACCAATAAATGTTTGCTGGATGAGTGCATAAAACTTTTTACAATAATAAGAATGATAAAACCTAACATCTCTAGGGCTCGATTCTCAAGATACTGTTATTTTCTGGTAATGACTGTGAATTTGTTTTCATCCATCTATGCACCTCATCTTTCTGTTTCTCTTGTGATTGACACATTTCACATCACTGAGTCAGATTCTTGAAATCTGCAGGAACTAAATAGACCTCTGTCAAGATTGGGGAAAAAATGCATCCACCTAAAGAATTACAACTGTGATCGTTACTTGACCTGAGTCAGATTCTTGAAATCTGCAGGAACTAAATAGACCTCTGTCAAGATTGGGGAAAAAAATGCATCCACCTAAAGAATTACAACTGTGATCATTACTTGAGTGCTCCAGAAGCTCCAGGAGCTATGTTAAATACTGTACACACATGAATTTAATTATTACAACCACTAGCTGGCACCTAGCTCCTACTACAGCAGACAGTCAGCATGGTGGCTAAAATGTGCTGTCCAGGTGTCATTTCAAGCATCAGGACATATTATCCAGAGCTGTTAGCAAGCTGCCTCTCAGGAAAATACATTCCTCACTTCAGCCTCTGTGCACCGGCTGAGTTGAGGCAAGAGGCACATTTTGGTTCAGGGTCTGAACTGTCCCATTTGTGGACTAGAGGGGGAAAAATTTCAGGGTAGAAAGTTCCAGCTCTTTAAAGCCCTTGGGTGCTTGGAGGGGTAACTGAGCAGAGAGGTTGTTCTTCTTTTCTTTGCTGTCCACTCTCTTATATCACGTGGCCCCCAGAGGTGTCTCCCCCTGCTGCATGCTGCTCTTTCACATTGTCATCAGGGTCTCTCTAACTTCTCCTGGCACACATGACCCCCTCCAGCCCTGTCTCCCTCTTGATCACTGCCCCTAAGTGCACAGGCTTTGCAATCTCTCAGGGTATGCCCAGCCCCTGCATTTCCAGCTTTGAGTTTATGATTCATAAAGTAATGGAAAAAGCTCTCACAACTCACCGGTGGATGGTTTCTTCCAGGTAGCACTGGTGTGTCAGGCTTCTCAGCAACTGAGCCAAACAGTTCTGGAGGTAGAAACTTGGTGTGCAGAAGTAGGAAATAAAGTTTCCTGCAGAAAGAGAAGGCGGGGATATGAGGGCAAGTAATGGTAAAGATTGAAAAAAATATATAGTTCTTCTTTTCCAGCCAGGAGCGTTGTAAACTGGGTTGAGGTCTCCAGAGGAGGATTAATTTTGAAATCTTGCTTATGCAACCTTGAGGGTGAGTCAGGCATACCCTGCACATCTGCTCCTTCATCTAACGACTCTGGGCTTCTTTATCTTAACGGGTCTCTATATCTGAAACTTTTCCACCCCTGCCCCCCTACTAGTGATCATTTGCATGATATAAGCACAGCAGAACTTTTCATTTCCCAGAGGATAAATGCTAAAGGGGCTCCTGGTAATGATGGAGGAAACATAATGAGGTTTAACTGTGACCATGTGCACTGGTTTCAGTGGTATTGTGGGCCTGGGATCCGGTTAGAAATTTTATTTAGATAAAACTTTTCTTTATGTTTCTAAAAAGTTTTGATTGACACATAGTAATTGTACATATTTATGGGGTACAATGTGATGTATACAATGGGTAACAATCAAATCAGGGTAATCAGCATATACATTGCCTCAAACACTTATCATTTCTTTGTGGTAGGAACATTAAAAAACCTCTCTTCTAGCTATTTTGATATATGCAATACATTATTATTAACTGTAGTCACCCTACTGTGCAATGGAATTCCAGAACTTATTCCTTCTGTCTTACAGTATCTTTGTCCTCGTGACCAACCTCTCCTCATTTCCTCTCCCCAACCCCCCAGTCTCTGGTAACCACTGTGCTTCTCGATACTTCTATGAGATAAACTTTTTAAGGTTCCACATATGAGTGAGATCATGTGGTATTTGTCTTTCTGTGTCTGGCTCACTTCACTTAGTATAATGTCCTCCAGGTTCATCCATGTTGCTGGAAATGACAGGATTTCAAATTTTTTAATGAGAAGGGAATACTAAACGGTCTCTTGTCAGAGATGTCCGTAGCAAGAAAGGCCTCAGTTATTATAGGTCCCACACCTCAGAAGAAAATTTTGTGTAAGGAAAGCACAAATTCCCCAGTGTAGGCACCATACTTAGGAACATTTCTAAGGTACTGCAGAGAACATGAGGTCACCTGACTTGGCCCTTGACACTTCATGGAATTCGGCAGACCCTGAGGTCAGAATCTCATGCTGTGGCCTCGGCAAGTTTCTAAGCTTCGGTTTTGCCAACTATAAAATATGAATAATAAGATCTGTGAGGTGTGTGAGGGTTCAATGGATTTAAATCAGTGAGTCCAGTGTCTAGCACGTAGTAGCTACTCAACTCATAACAAACAATATCACCCGAGCCCTGCTGAGAGCTGCAGGTTGAAGGACACACCAGACACTCAGTGCAGTACAGGTGTCTTTTCCACGTTTCAGTAAGTGGTAACCAGGTGTCCTGCATAAGACCTGGTTTTTGTGCTAAGCAATAAGGGCCTTAGGTTCTTCCTTAGAAGAAAGCTCCTTGCTTGTTCGGAAAGAGGGAGAGTTCCCCAATTGTCCCCTAATGTGTCTCTGGGCAGGGATCAGAGAGGTCTGTGTGAGATTTCAATAACAAGACAGGTTATCCCCACACTAGTGACACTGGATCCACTGCTCTTTTGGAACCTGGCATCTTGCCAGCAGTTCCTCTGATTCCACCTGGGATGGGGAGGGTCTATCTTCACACTGGAGCTCATTGACTCCAGCCCTGTTATTTTATAAACAAGGAGAGGTGCAGAGGCAGGTAGTAGTACAGCCA